AAACCTCAGGGAGAAGAGGGAGAAAAACAATCAACTAAGAAAACCCGAAACGAGAGAGACAGCTAAAGTGATATATATAAATATATTTACACTTATGTTACAATTGAAATATATATACAATTTAAAATATATACAATTTCACAAGGGAAGGGGAAGGGGGAAGGGAAAGGGAACAAAACCAAAATAATATATATATATATATATCCCAATCAGTAGCCCGAGATCTAGTAACTAAAGGGTTAGCAAAGAAAATATCCCACCACTCTCCTTGGGACAACCAAGAGTCGCTCCGGGATGATCGCCGGCAACCTCCACCTCCCAAGGTTGACAAGGCCTTACCAGGCCTCGCTCCCCAACACGGCAGACTCAGCAGCAGGGAACCTGCACCTCCAAGCTGCCGGAAGGAAAGAGAGCGAAGGCCTCTCCTCCTTTCTTCTTATAATCTGGCTTATGTAAAAATCATAGGGAATACTGGGTAAATCTGGACCCTTCCTTGGTTACAAACTGCTCACCAAGGAAGGCCTAGCCCAAACCACCACAGGCACTATTTGGTCCTTTGAATCAATTCAAGGCAACTGTCTTGGGACCATCTTAAAGACAATCTACCCACCAGCCTTTCTCTGAAGGTCCAGTGAGCTGGTTTTGCTAGTGCTTGGGAAGGAATCGTGGTCTGTGGGATGGCACAGTTTGGAAGCACTTGAGCCCTATAGACCCACCTGCAAACAAGAAGAACACGGGCTCCTCAAACACTTCATGCTGGTGCTTTTTCTTCCCATTGCCCCCATGGCAAAGCTGCCTGCTGGTGATGTTTTATCCTGCAAAATTCCCCTTTGTGTGTGCTGAGCCAAAACCTGCAGCCAGTTTAGAAGGCTGCAACCTTTTTGTAAGTTTGTGTTTGCTGCAGGCTGAGCTGCTAAGGCTTACTGCAGGCCTGGAAGTTCAAGTACACAAGTAAAAGAGTACCCTGGAGGATTTTCTGTGCCTGTGCTTGTTGCCCAAGCAGGGAAGCTGTTCCAGATGGTTGTATCTTGCACAGCTCTCCTGAGATCTGATCATGTGGCTGATGCTGCCGTGAGGTCAGTGTGTCAAATTGGGAAGGAGGAAGGGGGGCAAGGAGGCTTGCATGAGGATGATCAGACTCTCCTCCCTCAAGCTTTCATCATGAAGGGGGTTCTCCCTGACTGGTACCAGGGTAAATGCAGTTGGCATCAGCTAGAGGTGAGTGTTCACCTTCCAAGCTGGCATGAGGAGTGGCAGTGGGGTTTTTGGCATCTCAAATGTCCCTGTCCTTTGTGAATTGTCTAATGCCCTGTTGTGAAAACAAGGTGGAGCCAGGAGAAATGAGAAGCCAACCACAACCTGTGCTTTCAACCAGAGCTGCAGCACAGGTTCAGCACTGCCCTTCCCATCCCCTCCTGTTTGTGTGCCCGGGCAGCAGCGCTCTCCTTGCTCTCCTACCTCTGTTGGGATTGTATCCTGGTAACATCGCTCGTGGTGAGGTGCAGAAAACTCCCTGCAGTCCTTTGAGGGCTGTAGCTCTGGAAATTATGAACAAAACTCACCCCCAGGTACAGTTCTACGTCAGAAAAACCTTATATTCAGCTGTTCCCTGGAGTACATGTGTTCTTGATAGTGTTGTTTGTCTTGACCTCTTTATCGCTGCTTTTGTGAGATTTCAAGTAGTTTCTACTTAATTTGATACAAAAGAAAAGTGTTGATATAAAGTGCTGGACCTAGTTAGTGTTTGTTTTACAAATGGGTAATTAAGGTTTAAAAGGTGATCTGATTGATTGCTTTGGGAATTAAATCTGGGCCATGTTTCCACCAAGGCAATTTTTGCTTGTACGTGACAATAAAGGAGTACTTTATGTGTTCCTGGGTAAGATGGTGTGAGACTTAGAAAGGCAAAGCTTGTGTTGCTGCTGCGTGCTGCTTCTGTAAACATCTTTTATCCCCTTCCTTCTAGAGGAATGGTGATGTACCTACTTGTGGTTCAACAAAATCCTTCTCTGGAAAAAGAGGTAATTAATAAAATGCAGAGCTCAACTTTAATAATAAAGTATAAACCAATTGAAATGTAAAATACAACCAGTATTTATGGTTTCTTGGGACTGATTTTCCACTCTTTCTGTGTAGTAAAACTTCCATACTATAAAATTAATAAACTTTAGCTGTTCTGTGTTATCTTGAAGTTGGCAGTCATATGGTACAGTAGCATGATAGGTGATCCTTGTCTGTCACAGAAAGGCTCATAATGAGCTTGCTGAGGGGTTTCTATGTATCTTAATAGTCAAACTTCAGCAAATATTGTCCATATTTAGAAGGAGAAGGTGAGATCAAACAGAATCAATAGCAAACCTGCAGATCAGGTTGCAACATTTCATCACTGCCTTTATTTTATACTCGTGTAAACTGTTATGCTTCCTGGTCAGAGTTTTTTGTAGACACAGGCATGCTGTAATTCACCACTTCTTTTCTGAGCTGAAATGTTCTGTGTTTGGTTTCCACTTGAGTGTGACAGAGGGAGAGGTTGCTGTAGCCAGGATCCCTTTGCTGTACTGAGGAAAGGCTGTGCCTTCACTTGAGTTTGAATGACACAACAACCAAGTAAATACAAAGCACAGCCAAGACAAATTCTAACTTAAAAGTTCTTTAAATTTTTAAAAGTTGTTTTTTTAAAATTCTAGTTAAAGCTCTTTAAGTTCAGTTATACCAAAATCAATTAAACAGGCAGGATTGTCTTAAGTGACTGGTTTCATGTTTCTGAGATGACCACATTAACATTTTTTGCTGTTGGTCTGGAAGTACAAAGGAACGCAGGAAAATACCGGGTTGGTTTAGAGGCAGAGCAGGTTGCTGAGGTGAGGGTGGGTGACTGGTTGTGCTGCAATTGTGTTGCAATGCCTGTGGGTTTGGCCTTCAGCTTCTGAAAGCTCGAGTCCCTGGAAGGTTGCTGTGCCCTGGAGATGTCCTTGGGGACAGAAAGGGCAGCTCTTCGGCCCCTTCCCAACATTTTGAGCTGATAATCCAGCCTCATTCTGTGGGAGAAAGCCTAGGGCATTTGTTGGGGCAGAAAGCCCAAAGTACTGTAAAATCAAATTTTACCTCCTGAGGAGTTTTGCTGTGGGCTCTGGGAGGGCACCTTCCCCAGCCTTTAAGTGACCTGCCCTGTGCTTCAGGAGCACTGCTGTCCCACAGAGTTGGGTAGGGGCTTGTCTTTCTCCACCCTTTTGCATCCAAATCCACTAGGTGAGCTCCAACAGAGATGTGGTGTTTGTACCATTTGATCTCGGTGCTCTGTAACAGCAGCACGGGTTCTTCCATAGTGCAAGCAGCAAAATTCTCTGTGAGGAGGTGTTTACTGTTGGAGTTGGGCTGCTTAAACTCAACTATCAACCCCTAAA